GTTCATTTGGATATATTCAAGAATTGATAATTCATAAACTCTCTTTCATAAATAAAATAAAGTTACTTTGATATTATTTTTACAAAAATTAATGTTCAAAGTTTGATATTTTATTTTCATCAAGAGATATTTAGTGGTTTGATAACACAAGTGCAAAGTGAAATTAAACAATGTTTTATTGTATCTTGGAGGTATTTCGATTATATTCTTTTTTGCATACTATAACTATTCGGGACGAAATAAGTCATAAGAAAAGTGACATTTACAACGCGCCTTAAAGTTATTTTCTTATTCTTAAAAGATTTCATCTTAAGTTCTACCAAAACTTGAAATGGAAGACTACAACTTAAGATACAAGAAGCAGATCATCATCAATATGATAAAGAAAATCTTAATTTTTGTCACATTATTCATGTCTATTTAATATATTTTACATGTGTAAAATATATGAGACATATATTAATTAAACCATACCACATGAAAATATATAAAACATATGAAAGACATAAACACGTTTAACATTAAATACGTTTTTTTATATTCTTATTAACTTATAATTTAATATAAATTAGTATAATTTTATATATTATAATTTATTTTAAACCATAATCATGTCTAATCATGTCAAGTTAATTATATTATGTTAAATAGATTAATTTTAAAAGTGTTTGTCATATTGTGTTGTGTATAACATATACAACAAACTTGTTATATTTATATTTAAAATTTTATCACATTTAATAATTTATGTCGTGTTTTCAAAAAAAATTATATATCTTATATTATCTCGTATTTAACACAATATATAACTTTCAATTCACAAATTACCAAAAATAGATGTGGATCTCAAGATTGCCGTAAAGACATAAACTTATTACTATGATAACCATTCTATTTTTTCAAATTTGAGATCATATTCTATTTTATGGACTTGTAAACATACCATTAATGTTAATAAAGGGTCATAAATCAGAACTAGGAAGTAGATATTGAAAATTATCCTCTTGCTAGGAAAACAAATAAAACAAGACATGTCAATTTGTAAAGTTCAAATCTAAAAGACTATAAAATCAGACAAAGGATCAAGTGAGTCAATTTTGCCATTGATGAGTTAGGATTAGGGTGAAATTTGTTATTATACTATTATTAAATATTAAATTTTGCTAACATATTTTGATTTTATTAAATTTTGTCACCGTATTTTTTATTTTTTATTGATTTTTGAATAAAATCAATAAAATTCTAATATTTAATGAAATATTTTATTGATACAAATAACAAATATTGTCAATATACATTCAATTTCATTAATTTTTGGACAAAATAGTAACATAATTAGAATACTTCACAAAATTTTTCTTAAAGCAAATAAAAATTTTCATAAATTTGGGTACATTAGGTTTTAAAATCAATAAAATTAAAGGCACATACTTAAAACATAGTATCAAAATTCAATATTAATATATAGTATAATAATAACATTAATTCTGATGATATAACGTTATCTTATTTTGTATTTTTTGCATTCTGAATTCACTTGTTACTTTTTTACTTCAAGTCTTTTATTAACCCTTTATTTTATTTTGCATAAATCTAATTTTAAATTCATTGTCTCAAAGTTAAAAAATTTAAAGACGAAATAATTTGATTAATTTCTTATTTAACATGTATCATAGTTGGACATTTGTGAAACCTCATTTTATTAATCATAATTCTTTTTTTAATGTTTCTTTTGTTTAGTGCAATCTTTACGGGCTGTTGTTGGGAATTGAAGTTTATTAAAAGTTTGTTTAAGTACCCAACATCTAACGTAATTATATTATACAATTAATCAACGACGCAGTAGTTAATGAATTTGATTTTTTTAAAATAAAATGTCGATTTTAAATTTTATAAATAAAAAAATAAATATTAAAAAATTTAATTTTTTTATAAAATTTAATGTGATTTGATTTTGAATTAAGTAAAATTTAAAATAATTAAAAAATTTTAAAAGGTCTCATAAAAAAAATTATATTATACAAATTTTTAATAAGAAAAATAAATGTACATGGGGGTTGGTCGCAGATCTATATCGAAGTTTGAGCCCCCCAATGTGCAGGAAACCTGACAAAAACATAGATTCTATTTCTATATTTTTGTAGAAAACCAAAAATAAGTTTATAAGACCCGTACTCGTAGCTGGTGAAGTAAGATTGACAACTTTTTTTTTTTTTTAATTTTAATTTATTTTTACTTTAATTTTATTTATTTAATTCATTTGATAAAGGTATTACATAAATAAATTTTTTTGAATTTGTAATCTTTAAAAAAATGATAAGCCTATATGTCATTGGATTTAATACTCGGTGATGATAACTTTCCTTGTTTAATGGCGACATTTTCCTAAGTCAACAAATTTTGAACCGATTGGAATAATGGAATTCCTGAAAGAAAATTAGAATAGTGTAAAATAATATGATATAAAATAGAAATAAAATGACAATCTTATTCATAAATTAATTTTATAAATATAAGCCAAGCAAAGTAGAAAATAATTTTTCTGCCTCTTAAGACTCGAACTCCTAGTTGGGTTGGTGAGGGTTGGTAATGCTTGACCATCATACTTAACATTAATGAATAAATAAATCCCATTACTATTCTTGGCACATTTGAAATTTCCATGGTCTCTTTGATTTTTTTTGTCATTATTTATCATATCAGATTCATTAATAAAATGGAAGTTGAAAAACTTTTCAGGGCAATGGTTGAAACCTGAAAGGTGCTTGCACAACATAACACCAACCCCCAAAAAGGTCAGTTTCCAGGAGAAAAGGGGTGCAGTGGAGGAAAGGAAAATGGTCGATTTTCAGGCGGGGGTTGGTGGTGGTGTTGAAATGACAAGTTGGCCACTCAACAACACCATTACCATTAGCCACCAAACCTGAGAGCAAATTGAGTGGAACTTTCCTACAGCTCCTAACGTTTACCAACCCTTGATAAATGGCGACATGTTGAGGACACATATGACCTACGTTATCATCCAGTTATTTTAGTGAGCCAGATATACATTTATGGACAAATTTTAATCGATGAGTTGCCATGTTTAACACATGTTAGGTGTTCTTACCAAAACTGATGATTTTGGTCACTTAAATAAATGGGTTTAGCTTCATTTGATCTGTTATATCGAATCTGGCTTTCGACCTTGTTTGATTACAATCCGTTTCTCTGCAATCCATTTTTAAGGCACTTTTCAGCTTTGTTGTGGGAGTAAGTAAATATTAAATCTGATAATTTGAAACAAGATATGGTGACATGATATAAAAATGATATAAATAAAAAATACGAAAATAATACGATTTAAAATTTTTAAAAAATATAAATAGATTTAATAAAATAAAAAAATTATACTTTAAATTTTTGTATTAACACGAATTATGACACGTAATTTTTATATAAAACATGATGTAAATATAATATTTTACACAATACGATAATATAAATTATCAAGTCTAGTAAGTACTTATATCAAACACGATAAAATTTATTGTATTGAAAGCTCTTTTATAGTCTCTATTTTAATTCACATGATTGACCAATAATACTCTGAAATTCATATATGCATATTCATAGACATTAGCTATTTTATTTAAGTTATTTTTTAATTAAGTTTATGAGTTAAAATTATATCATAATTATAAATTTGTTTTTGGTAGGAAACTAGAATTAGATAAAGATCATAAAATAGTACGATACAAAGTTCTTCCTGTTGCATCATCGGCAAGCAAGTTCAAAATAAATTAGGAGGGTCTTGAAATAACACAAAAAGATTTTCATAACATTCATTCATAATTATAAAATTGAATCAAACTCATACATAGCGAGACTCGAATTCAATATTAAAAATTTTAGAATTCTTTTCTCCTGTTGAAACAAGATTTCATCAACTAGTTATGTCATTTATATTTTAATATTTTTTAGCATTTTTTTAAAAAATTATTTTTTTTTATAAAAAGGGCCATAGTTTAAGAATAATGAAAAAAATTACAAATGTTAAAATTTAATCACGAATCTACTATATATTATCTTTTAAAGATAGTTACATAAATCAATTAAGCAATTTTTATATTCACAAAATACTCTTTTTAAGTACCTTGTTTCATAAAAGAAAACAATCCTATTTATATGGATTTATTATTAAGTCCATTGTGATACTAGCTAGTAGTATTTAATTTGGACAAAAATAATAATATGTTAATAATATCATTGATATATCTCAATGCATATGTTTATTGCTTCATTCATATTTTAAAACATTAATTTAATTTTTCAATAATCATATTAGGAAGTTTTAGGTATAAATTTTAAGTAATTATGAGTTTTTTTTTTAGAATAATAATTATGAGTACCTTAAAAACTATTCTCTTAACTATTTAAACTTGAGACTTTTTTATAAGAGAAAAACTTAAGATCGTTTTTCTTTTTCACAATCTTAAATAATTTCCAGTCATTTGATTTTTTTAATATTTTGAATTATGAATGGATTTGAACTCATAAATTTTTAATTTTAATATCACTGAATTAATATCTCATTGATTAGTGGTTTACTCACCTTTTTAATGTCTTTTAACCACTCTCATATTAAAAGATTAGGATGTAAATGATCAATCTACTCTTAAATTTCTTAAATTTTGCTCCATAAATGCTTGCATTCAACCCTTTCATTCTTAAGTCAAATATTAATAGTTTAATATTTTGATAAATAACTTATGAATCTAATTAAAAATTTAAAAATTTTACTTTATACTACATTGTGTAAAATAAAATATAGTATTAATTTACATATATGTAAAATTCATTTATTTTTTAAATAATTTTATTTATATTTTAATCTCAAATTTGATAAAATTTTATTAAAAAAATTTTAAAATATAAAAAATCCAACAACCACCTAAAACCCATCCATTAAAATAAAATAAGATAAAGTGTATAAAAAAAAAAGAAATAAAATGAAAGGAAAAGAAAAGGTCATCAAACTACTTCCACCAACCTCATCAAATTCTTTTATAAATCCCAAAAATCTTCAATCGCTTCCCACCTGTCCTCACCATTTTCCCCATTTGCCACTCTTCTTTTCTCCTCCTTCAAAAAACATGGATGCAGTTAGCACTTGGGGCAACTCCTCCCTGGAATCCGTCGACCCCGAAATCCACGACCTCATCGAGAAGGAGAAACGTCGCCAATGCCGCGGCATCGAGCTCATCGCTTCAGAAAACTTCACTTCGTTCGCCGTAATTGAAGCCCTCGGCAGTGCTCTCACCAATAAATACTCCGAGGGCATGCCCGGGAACCGTTATTACGGAGGCAATGAGTTCATTGATGAGATCGAGAATCTCTGTAGAGCTCGTGCTCTACAGGCTTTTCATCTCGATCCCACCCAGTGGGGTGTCAATGTACAGCCTTACTCTGGTTCACCGGCAAACTTTGCCGCTTACACGGCTGTTCTCCAACCCCATGACAGGATCATGGGGCTGGATTTACCCTCTGGCGGTCACTTGACTCACGGGTATTATACCTCCGGAGGGAAGAAGATTTCTGCTACTTCTATTTACTTTGAGAGTTTGCCTTATAAGGTGAACTCGAGTACTGGGTACATTGACTACGATAAGTTGGAAGAGAAGGCCATGGATTTCAGGCCCAAACTTATCATTTGCGGTGGGAGTGCGTATCCGAGGGACTGGGATTACGGCAGGTTCAGGGCCGTGGCGGATAAGTGTGGTGCTCTCTTATTGTGTGATATGGCTCACATTAGTGGCCTTGTTGCTGCTCAGGTATATTGTTTTACTTGGATCTTATTTAGTTTTCCTTTGACCCTGCATGCTATTGATTGTTGGGTTAGATCTGAGATTTTAGCTGGGATTTCAACTGTTGGTATTAAAAGTTTTCAGGATTGGATCTGGTGTTTGTGGGACTTAGAATGACTTTAGATTCTGGATTTGGGGTTTGAAAGTTATTTTTATCAGATTATTATTTTGATCTGAGCCCTTCGTATTATAATCATAATTTATAAAATGACTTCTAGGATCAGAATATGGGTTCATTTTCTGTCTTTTAATGCACATGCGGTGGTACAAATGAGTTCAACTTAGTACTTTTTTTTCTCCTGTTTTGGGGTGTAAAATTTAAGCTGTCTTGGAGATCAAATGATGGAAAGGATTTTATAAATGAAATGTATTTTAATAAATATGAATCAGATCTGAGAAGTCTTAGTGGGGTTGGTTTGATTTGGTTCTGAAAAGTCTTTTGGCTGTAATAATGCATATGGGTGAGGAAAATGTGAGTGGATCTGAATATGACTTCTCATCAAATTGTTTGTTTTGTTCTCCAAAGTTTTCTTTTGAAATGCAAAATTTCATTTATGAAGTTGCTTAGATTTGAAGAATTACTAAATTTCATTTCTAAACTTTTTCCAATCAATATGTCAGCATTATTAGATTCCTTTGTGTAATAGTTCTGGTTGTGGAATTTGGGCCTTTTCTTTTTCTTTTTTCCACTCATGGATTATTGATACTAGTTCTTACCGATTTTATTGTTGGAGTAGGAGGCGGCAAACCCTTTTGAGTTCTGTGACATAGTCACAACCACCACCCACAAGAGCTTGAGGGGTCCTAGGGCTGGTATGATATTCTACCGCAAGGGACCAAAGCCACCAAAGAAGGGCCAACCAGAAGGTGCAGTGTATGACTTCGAAGACAAGATCAACTTTGCTGTTTTCCCATCCCTTCAGGGTGGTCCCCACAATCACCAGATTGGTGCTCTTGCTGTTGCCTTGAAACAAGCCATGTCACCTGGATTCAAGGCTTATGCTAAACAAGTTAAGGCCAATGCCGTTGCCCTTGGAAACTACCTTATCAGCAAGGGATACCGGCTTGTTACTGGTGGAACTGAAAATCACCTTGTCCTTTGGGATCTCCGACCTCTTGGATTGACTGGTTTGTCAGTTGAATTACTTGGCCTGAGGGTTATTCAATAATTGCCTTTGATTCAATTCTGATCTTTTTATCATTGATCTTACAGGCAACAAGGTCGAGAAGCTTTGTGATCTGTGCAACATCACTGTCAACAAGAATGCTGTATTCGGTGACAGCAGTGCCTTGGCTCCTGGAGGAGTACGAATTGGTAAGACCTGCTGCATTGATCTAGAGTTACTTTGGATCCTCAAATTTTCTAGAGTTTTATACAAGGGAAATCAAGGATGCCAAATTTGCATGTAAATAACGACTTTAAACAGAAAAATAGCTTGGAATTACTGACACCTGAATTATCTTGTGCTTCAGTGAATGGGCATAGTGTAGAAACAGAAAGATAACTAATTACATTAGAAGTTGTTTTCTTTGCATCTTCTCTTTTATACCTCTATTGCTTTTTGTGAAGGAGTTCTCTTCAGCCGACTCCTTCGGTAGTGAGAGGATGACCCAACTCTTCCAAGTTTTGTCAAATTTTTATTAAAATTGCATGATTTAATTTGGGTGCCAACACTTGATGCAAGTTGCTCTTGACAGGTACGCCTGCCATGACTTCAAGAGGTTTGGTTGAGAAGGACTTTGAACAGATAGGAGAGTTCCTCCACCGTGCTGTGACCATCACGTTGAATATCCAAAAGCAGTATGGAAAGCTTTTGAAGGACTTCAATAAAGGTTTGGACAACAACAAGGATATTGAAGAGCTCAAGACCGATGTTGAGAAGTTTTCATCCTCATTTGAAATGCCTGGCTTCCAGATGTCTGAAATGAAGTACAAGGATTAGATCTAAATACCATTCATTCTTATTGCTGTCGTTATCAGCATCCGGGTATTTTGACAATTTGCTTCAGTTGATGTCCAATGAGTGGAAAAAAGAAAGGGAAAAGAAAATGAAACAAATGCTTCCATTTGTGGTTTTCATTGTCTTAGGTTAGTGGTGAATTAGATATGATTTTTAAGTTTTTGCTGTCCCTATCTTATAACTATACTTTGCATAACACTTATGTACCGATTTTACGTATCCTTTTTGGTTGCTGGAAATTGTGGTTTTAATTACCAATAAACGAGAGAAATATGGGTTTATCATTGGTAAATGGAATCCATTGTCTTTCATTTGCGTGGAAAAATATGTGGTTTCTTTGTCAGAGGTTGAGACTAGGCTTCACCAGAACCATATTGCCAAGATGCCAGTGTCTGTTCGCAGACAAAAATATCATTAAATGTAAATGAATTGCCTTGGCATTGAGGCATTTACAGGCATAATATAGAAAAAAAATGCGGGGAAGGTGCAGAAAGGCGTAAAAGCCTTCAATTTCATTTGATGATTAATAAAGCATTAATATTTTACCAATATCTGTTAGTTCAAGTAACAAGGAATTTGATTTTTTTTAAACAAGATTTTGGATTCGAGTTCAGTGAACGAAAAAAACAAATTTAGGAGAACTTGCTCCCCGAGGTTTAATTTGGCTCGACTTCGAATTAGTAGGAGCTTAAATGACTACAGGACATTAAGGGGTTCCGGACCAAAAAAAGCATCAATATTTTGTGACAGTTTCCTCTCTTCATGATCCTACATCGTTCTCCTGCTACTAAGTTCAAAAGAATGCACTCCGTCTAATATAATGCAGCGGTGATTTTCTTTCCCATGTTTTTATTTTCCCTATCCATGGCAAGAACTAAAAGTACAACATATATGACAAGGAAAAAGATCACTGTATTTAGTTGCTGCATGTGCAATTTTACACATAACAAACCAACCTCTCACTTCTATTTCAAGAGCAGCATTGGTCACATATGCTGCTTCATCTCCATGAAAGGCACTTGAGGATGAAGTATCAAAAACCCTTGGGGAAAATTCAATCAAATATCTTCTGGGCTTCAATTATACTATGGAGACTGAGAAAAAGAGAGCCAGAAAAGATGGTATGAATCAAACAAAACTGGATTCTACAAAAAAAAAAAAAAAAAAGAGCAAGAAATTTCAAAGAAAAAATGGTAAGCCTTACTGATCATCTTTTGTGACCCTATAATATCTTTCAGCATGTTGCCGTTGACCAATTAATTGAGCATAACGTTCATCATGAGTATGGTTTGAGAAGCAAGGACATGAAACAAACAGTAAACTTCCATGCCTTTTCATTTCTTCAATGATGGTTGATAAAAAGTAATTTACACATTACCACTTTCCCCAACTTATTTTCCCACCACATCGAATGATCAGTCACCTTCTGAGCATCACTACATCGACCTCTTATTTCAAACTCAGCTTCACCGAATTGCATAAGAACCTGTTTTGGATGCAAAGGGGAAAAAGATCACGACATAATGAAATTTCGAAGAAAAAAAAAAACACACCTTCAGAACCTCTTCCTGCATCTAGTTGGATAGAGGGATTTTGGTTACAATGCTGCCGATTGGTTTATTAACCAAAGCTATGGTTGCGTCCTTGCATCCAATTCAATTACATATAAGAGTTTTCTATTCTGGGTAAGAATCTTTATTCTCATTTATTAAGCATTTTGCGAAGGGGACGGGAGTTTGTTAAACTAAAATTGTATTAAATTATACTGTATGGATAATCATTTATAGTTGGAATTTTGACACTGCATGTATTTTGCCTGGGAAGGCTGCAGTCATGCTGATATGTTCTGACAATAAGTATTGTCATCTGATGCCTATGATTCATTCTGGAATACCTCAAAGTATATAGGTTCTTCTTGTGGATTCCACAATTTTAAAAGCAATGTCTTTACATTAAGTCCTTTTTATTATTAACTACCTAAATTCTTGAATCCCTAAATCGGGATTGTGTATTTAGTTTTTAATATTTTGAGATAGTGCTCACAAATGAACAAGTTGGATTAGGGTTGGTAGTCCAACCCGTTTTCAACAACTTCTAACATAATATGATCTTGTAAGGTTAATTTTTTTTTTTTTAAAATCAAATTTTAAGTCGGATAAAGTAATATTAAAAAAAATCGAGATCAAATTGGGGTCAAATTTTTGATAAACTCGACTCGAATTAGCATATATAAAAAGTTTTATTTTAAATTAATTATTTAATTTTTTATTTATATATATTTATATAATTTTATATTTATATTAAAAAAATAATATTTTATTAATTTTAGATTAGGTTGGATCAATACGATTTATACAAATTAGATCGGATCGAGTTCAAATATAAAAAAAATAAAAAATTTTCTTAGGTTGGATCGGATTCGAGTATGAAAAAAATAAAAAAATTTTTCATATTCAATCAGATTCAAATTTTATAAAAATAAAATAAAATTAAATTCGAGATAAACAAAAATCCATCCCAACATGAACCGTTGCAATTGGTGGGATGCTGTCAAACACCCGGAAAACCAATATGATATTAGTTCTCAAGTGGTAAATGGTACTAATATTTTACCTTCCACCAAGTTTCTTGGTTTCAACTGGCCTAAAGCAGTAAGGTTGAAGACTTGAACACTTGCATTAGGAAATCTTATTAACGTTTGGGTATTGCAGCTTCCAAAGCCCAAGATAATTAGGCTGGGAAATTGGGAGTTATATCCTTTAGCCGAGGAGCAACTACAGTATGCAGCAACGGATGCTTTTGCTTCATGGCACCAATACCAGGAAACATTACAATTACAATATTTGCGTTTCAGAACAAATATTGTATTTTGTTGATTCAATATAATGTAATCAAGATTATTTGTTTGTCAAATCCTCCCAGTGCTTCTCATTTACCTTCATTTTGCTGAATGAGTTAATCATGGACTTTAGCTCAGTGACATATATAATAATAGCCTCTCTAGTATGGACGAGGACGAGTTGGGGTTTCAGCCTCGTGATTTTTACTTGGATTGAAATTTTATGAGCTCAGGAAACTGACTTCTTATTTTTATTTTTTTCTTTGTTTTTTTTCTTTATAATAAACTTTAAATTTCTTCTTCAGATCTGATTCCCTACTTATCACATGTTGAAGGTTTGCTTTAGTCAAAAACAGCTGCTATTGTACTGTTAATCACATCATTTTATATAGATATATTATAAACAATTAAAACAATCAACTTAAAATCCTACAATATCAATTTACAGTACTCTTTTCTAATGCTAATGAGAACATGATCTCACCTCTCTGGAGCTTTGATCAAACTCTTGAGGGTTTTTTTTTTTTTTTTTTAATTTGAAACAGTTAAAAATTGAATCATGATCATTAAATTGAAGAATTTAAAATTTTACAAATAAATTATATGATTGTTGGCATTTTTTTTTTATTTTACATAAAACTAATCAAAATTTTTATATTTGGACCAGTGTTCCTCAGAATGAGAGATAATTTTCTTATATAATTTACAGATTATCTACTAATCATCTTGCAGGAAAATAAGACTTCAAATTCAGCAAAGAACAAAAAATCAAAGATGGGCCAGGTGTTGGGTGACAATTTGCAAATGATCCAAACTGTCACAAAAAATAAATGTTCCTAAATTTATAATTTATTACTATGATTTCAATAATTTTTTATGGCAGTCGACTTGTTCGACTATGGCGACAAAATAACATTCCTCCTTATAAAATTTCTTGGTGGGGTGGCATACGGAAATCGTACAGTAAATGAGATATAAATTATGGAAAGGTGATGAAACCAAAAGAGTCCAAAAATTTTGTGAAGATTGAAAGAACAAAATCTTTGATCAAAGCTAAAATGTCGTAATCTATGGTCCATATGAGCCACCGTTTTCTCTGGTTGTTATTTTACTCAAAAATCCAACCACCCACATGCCTAAGCACATGGCCAAGAGACATAGAACATTTGACCCCATCCAGAAAGAAACTTTCGAATTTCCTTTGGCCTGTTTCACTGTGTTTGGGTTGCTTGAATGTAAAAGTAATATCAAACATATTATGATTTATGTTAAAAATATTTTTTGACAATTAAAAATGAGTCCAAATTAATTAGGAGGTGTGTTTGTAATTTGTAATTCAAGGTTTAGAATTAAAATAATCAAATATCTACCCAATTATTTATTTTTTGATATAAATAATCTATGTTTTTTTTTTCCAATACCATGTATTTTTGGACATTTTATTTTTTTAAAATAATTTTTTTACAGCAATATTAAACACTTAAAGATCTTAAATCATAATTATTCATAATACTTTTTAAATATATTTATTTTCAAATCAAATTTTTTTCAATCACAATAATAATATTAAATTAGACCTTTATTAATAAAATTTAATTAAGTTGGTAAGCATCAAATACTTCGCTTATATAATTTAATTATAATTCTTATTATTAATTAATAAATGATTTATAAATTTAATATAAATTTTTACGGAAGCCTACATGTACTCTGACAGATGAAATAACCCCCTACCTAAACGCCATTTGACTCTCTTTATTACATGCCAAAAAAATTTCAAAAAAAAAAGGCCAGTTGTAAAGAGTTGATTTGTGACAATTTTAGCCGCAAAGGTGGTATCGAACATTTTCCATTTCCAGGCTCCAGCTTATGCTGATAACCCATTTGTTTTTGATCTTCCACTAATCATTGGTTATATGTCAAAAAACTTTTTATATTGATTTGTTACTTTCTTCACCTTTTGACCTTTTTATTTTAAAATTAAAACAAAAGGAAAAAAGAAAATTTATGCAATTGTAAACATAAAAAAAAAAAAAAAATTTAATTGACAATGATATATACCTAACACACTACTAAGTTTGCTTTAATTGGAGTGAAATTCATGAATTTTTTCATTTTAATAATGCTTTTGATTTTCAATTTTATTTTTTATTTAATTGTTTGTCATTAAGCACCTTATAAATATTTTTCAAGAGTTAATAAATTTATTATCATTTTATATCAATTACTTCTTTTCATTAGTTTATTAAAATTGAAACGTTTCCATTATGCAATACCAAGGGCCCCAAGTTAATAAAAATATTCTTTTGGACAACAATTTTTTAAGCTAAAAGTAGAGATTCATTAAAATTTTTAACACCAACAATGAGAAACTGATGACATAATTAAATTTGACATG